AAAAAAAAAAAAGAAAGAAAGAAAGAAAGAAAGAAAGAAAGAAAGAAAGAAAGAAAGAAAGAAAGAAAAGAAAAGAAAAGAAAAGAAAAGAAAACCAGGCTGGGGCACAGCCATCACAGAGGAATATGGCCCGGCAACAAAAGGGAAGCTTCTAATTCCCCCAACATTGTGGGTGAACCCCGAAAGAATTAAGCTGAACAGAAGACAGACCATGTGGTGTGACCCCATTTTGATGAGCAACTCAGGAAAAGACAGGAGTACAGGTGGTCTCCGTCAGAATAGCACAGCCTCTGTGGTGGGCATCAGCAGGAACTGAGAGGAGAGGGGTGCAAAGGAATGTTCTACACCTTAGCACAGCATGTGGACTGCCCCTGCACGCAACTGTCAAAGCCCACCAACTAGTGTATTTCAGATGTATTCCACTGTATTTAAATTACGCTTAGATTTTGGGGGGAAGAAAATCCAAAAACCAAATAAGAAGGAGGAGGAGAAGAAAAATGAAAGAAAAACATGAAGAGACATAAAAGAACCACCTGGAAACCAAACAACTGTGTAACAAGAATCCTAACACCGGACATCATGCAGGACAAACAGACAGTGAAATAGCTTTTTTCCTGAACTGAAAGGAGACTAACGGAGGATAAAAGGGCTAAGTCAGGCTAAATAAACAATGACCTATCTCCAGCTCTGTTCCTGGAAATTTCAGACTCCTGAGAGCAAGTCCTATCTGCAAAGAACAGCCCAGGCCAGCTGCCAGCCGCATACCTGTCCCTGGGTGCAGGTGGCACATCCTCAGGGCCAACCTGGAATCCTACATCCAGCCAAACACACACCCTGCCAGGTGCTAATTCATTAATTAATCTACTCAGACCCCCTTCCCTTTATTTGAGAACCTGGAGTTTAATTCCCACATATCCTACCCAATTCCCACATTCCCACCTGGGACAAGTTTTGCCACAAAACATGGCACAATGCAACAGAAAGGGATGTGGCTAAGCTGACCCTTGAGTCAGAGGGATGAAGGCAGCTGGGAAAGAGGTAGGCCCTTGGCCGGGTTGGCTAGACCCAAAAGACAACCTTGCACCTGCCACCTGGGCAACAACCTTCACCTACCACCTGGACCTACTCATGGACTCTGGAGGAACCTCCCAGCAACACTCACAGCCTCAGTCATTTACACCAGTATGTCAGTGTCCACCAACAGCAAGGTATGGAAGATTTCCTGGCTTCACAGTGAGATTCATGCCATAAACAACAGAACAGAACCGGCAGGCAGAGAAAAGTAACCAGCATTGCTACAATCTTTTTTTCCCCAGGACTGGGGACTGAATCCCAAGGCCTTGGCACATGCTCAGTAGGTGGTCTACCTCTAACACTAAAGTACACTCCAGCACCTATAATCCTCCTTTTGAGTCAAGCAGCTCCACCACTGAGCTACACCCTCAGCCAGCCAATCCTCATTTCTAATGGCAAATAACAGCTAGATTAATTAGAGACAAAGTCAGAAATTGTTAGCCATGGTACCTCGGGGAGTGAACTGAGAAGGGAAGAGGATATCCTCACCGTATATTCTACACCACTAAACAGTTTTGTTTTGTTTTGTCGTTCTATCTATCTATCTATCTATCTATCTATTTAGTACAGGGTCTCATTACGCAGCTCAGACTTGCAGTGGTCCTCCTGTCTCAGCCTCCCCAACTCTGGGATTAAAGCCATGCACAACCACTCCTGGTTTCAGTGGCCAGCTCGGTGCAACCAGGGTTTCAGGGCTGGTACAGCATGTGGTACTGGGGATTGAACCTGGTTCCTTGTGTTTGCCAGGCAGGTGCTTAGACTGCCGAGCTATCTCCCCAACCCTAGTTTGGTTTTTTGAGACAGGTTCTCACTTTCTGGTGCAGGCTGGCCTTGAGCTCACTATGTAACCCAGGCTGGCCTCAAACTCATGGCAATCCTCCTGCCTCAGCCTCTCAAATCCTAGAATCATAGGTGTATACCACCAAGCCTAGCTGTTTTGCTTTTCAAGACCGAGTCTCTAAGTTCCCAGGCTTCGCTTGAACTTGGAATCTTCTTGCTTCAGCCTCCCTGAGTGCTAGACTTATAGTAGCATGCCACTGTGCATGGTCATCAGGCTGTTTTTATCAAACATTACATGCTGCTTGGTCATCCGAAGACCAGTGAGTCCTCCTCTGAGTGCAGCCCTTCATGCTCACTGGGCCAAGTCATCCTCACATTGGCTCACCATTGTGTGGCCCCATTAGATCCCTGACACTCTGAGGACAGAGCCAATCCTATATGTTGTACACATTGGTGAGGCAAATTTACCAATTAATCTATTCTGAGAGCCCAGGTCAAAAGCCAGGGCAAGAACAAAGCATCTGGTCCCTACCCAACTTCCAAATCCCACCAGAGCTGTGCAAGGGGATAGGCTCCCAGCCTCTCACCCTCAGTGT